AAGAGACACAAATTCTATAGTTTCAATGCTTTTTATTTCTTTAACTGACACATTCCTTGGTCCTTTAAAAATAGAGTAACAAATTAAAAGTACTTCAGTACAAACTGTCTGTCCTTTCCTGGAGAACCACAATAAATTCAAATAGTAAAGAGAAAAGCAGCTAGGGTAGCTCAGGACATGTGCAGCCTATCTGAGAAGACTAGAACAGCTTGTCTTGGTCTAGAGGCTGTGAAAACACAACTTTTCTTGAGAAACGCATTAGTGGGATAAACAATGGTTACGGAAAGAGCTGGTTTGTTAAAGGCCAAATGGATTCACAAATGAGCGTTACAGTCTGACTGGGAATAAACTTAGGCTGGGAATCACAAGATGATTTTTAATGGTCACAGCAGGGAGGTTCAGGAATAGCTCTTCAACAGATAAGAGAGGATCAGAAAACAAGCTGCTTCAGAATGGACCTGACCAGTTTATGAAAGGAGCTATGACATGGTTGCCAGCAACAGCTGGGGATCATAGTTACTGACCCAATAAGGCCCTTTGCAGGCCCTCACAAGCACGAAGCTTCCAGGTCAAAAGGACCCTCTGCTACTCTGCAGAGAGTCAAATGCCAATAATGTCAGCACTACCATGCACACGCAGGGACAAACATGATGCTCATGAGCTGTGGAGTCTCTTTGTCTGTGCACAGCACATTCCCAAAGCCTCCATGCTCTAAGGTTGACCATGGCCTCTCCAAGCCTACATTCCTACGTCAGACTTATTGTGGCTTGTATTTCAGACTCTTCTCTTTCCTTTTTTACTCATTGTCTAAGACAGGAATGTTTAAGAGAACTGGAAAGGCCATAGAGTCTGTATTTAAACTGCAGCGAAGACTGGTACAGGGAGAATGGGATTTAGCAATCCCTGCAGGGCTTTGAAGGAGCTTTAGAATGAAGCAGGTGAGCTACAGAAAACATGTAATCTGTTATTAGGTGTTAGCTCTAGATGGCTGCAAGTGGTCAATATAGTAGCTAAGGATTAATAGCGGGCATTAACTTGTTGGTTATAAAAATAGTTAAGAGCAAAAGATAGGGACAGAACAGCTCTGCTGCTGTGTTGTGCTTACTGAGCTGTTTAGGATTCCTGAAAAATGTGAACAAAAACCAACCAAACAAAAAAGTACCCAAATGCAATATATTTAAACATCTTAAATCATTTTTGTAAAGCCTTTTGAAAATAAGAAAGCAGCAAAGGAAACTTTAGTGGAAAACCATCTGATGGATTAGCAACTGGCTTTGCAAGCAGAATGCAAAGAATAAGCTTAAATTGCTATTTTCTGTGTGCTGACAGATTAATATTGCTGCTACCCAAAATTCAGGAACATAGCTAATATTGGTTCAATGAATATCTTAAGGAGCTGCAGCCAAGTGCGGATTACAGAAGCAAAAACAGCACATAGGCATTCACTGTTTTTTTTTAACTGCTTAATTAAATGAGGGATTATTCACTTGTTTCCCAGAAAGGACCTGAAGAGGGAGCAAAATGCCATTGTATTTTTCATTGAGAGATTTTTCATTGCAGTCTTCTAAGCTGTCCCATTAAGAGATCAGATAGACTCCCCTCTCCCTTCAAGCAAATCGCCAGAGTTCAGGAGACTGCCGGGATCATACACTGAATATACGGCTCAAAGAACAATGCTTCCAGCTACTCATTATCCACTGGATTTTCCTTTACAGGAAGAGATACTAGCAAAGAATCATGGCAGAAACATAAATCCCTGATTATTTTATTCATGCGTGAGATCTTCAGGAGGCCAGTCAGGACACAGTGCCCCAGCAGCGCACTATTTTCCGTGCAAGTATTCAGAGTACAGAGGGTTCAGTGGCTACCAAGAGGATATAAGGAAAATGATGTTACAGGAGTCAGAGAACTTACTTTCCATTAGGAGAGGATACTCACTTTCCATCCCACCTTTACACATCTCAGAAACAATCAGACTTTTGATTCTTGAAACAGAGATGATTAATGCTTTTATTAAGACACAAGAAGACTACAGGAGACTATCTAGAGGATTCAGTACAAAAGCAACCGAGCAGCATAATAACAGATTAAATTTAAAAGTGAAGTATGAAGAAACATACTGCAAAGAACTGTGGAAGACAACTCAGCCACAAATGGGTTTTTAAAAAGTTGTTACCTCCTGGAGGAACGATTTCAAAATAAGTGCAGACTCCTGCCTTTTGTTCTGCCTCTAGCACCATTCAGGAGATTGTTAAGCTGCAGAGAAGACAGAATATTATGTTATTTCATAATCCTTGTGTATCTTGCATTTAGTTTTGTTCAGAACATTTCAAAAGTAACAAAAAGCAAAAAAGTCTGGAAAAGCACAACAATTATTAAAAACAGGGGTTTGGTTACGCCCCAAGAAAGATATGTGAAAACTGAACTGTTCTTTCTGGGAAAAAAAAAAAACAACAAAACAAACCAAACAAAAAAACCCCACACACAAACAAACAACCCCCCCCAAAACCCCCAACCTATAAGCTACAACTTAGCAATGAGTACATAACACATGTACTACAGAAAAGTTTCATCAGTCATTTGTATCATGTATCTGTAAGCCCCTGAATGAAAAAGCTCTGGGACTTTTTGTTTGGTCAAATTCATCAGATAAAAGAAGAAACTTAGAAAGTACACTCTAATTTACTTGTTTAGTTTTCTGCTTGGAATATGATGAAGGCAAAGAGCTTAATATAATTCTAAAAAAAGGCTTAAAGACATATCCTAGGAGCATAAGAAAAACATCTGCAATGCTAGTAGTTTGGATTAAGTGTCTCAGTGTTCCGAGACTTCATGCTTTAGGATAATAAGCTCATCCTGGGCAGTTTTTAGTGTCCACAAAGCATCCAGCATTGATCATTGTCAGAAACGGTGCTAAACCACTGATCTGCTCTGATACAACACTTCACACGTGTGGTGGGTTGACCTTGGCTGGACACCAGGTGCCCACCAAGCCGCTCTATCACACCCCTCCTCAGCAGGACACGGCGGGGAGAAAATAAGATGCAAAAAACCTTGTGGGTCAAGATAAAGAGAGTTTAATAAAGCAAAAGCAAAGGCAGCCCATGGAAGCAAAGGTAAACAGAAGACTTATTCTCTACTTTCCATCAGCAGGTGATGCCCAGCCACTTCCCGGGAAGTAGGGCTTCAGTACGCGTAGCAGTTGGTCCGGAAGACAAACGTCGTAATAACGAATGCCCCCCTCTCCTCCTCCTTTCTCTTAGCGTTTACTGCTGAGCAGACATCATATGATGTGGAATATCCCTTTGGTCAGTTTGTGTCAGCTGTCCTGGCTATGTCCCCTCCCAAGATCTTGCCTACCTCCAGCCTACTGGTGAGGGGGAAATATTGAAGAGAGAGCCTTGATGCTGTGGAAGCACTGCCCAGCAGTAGCCAAAACACTGGTGTGTTATCAACACCCTTCTAGCTACCAATACAAAGCACAGCACTATGGGGCCTGCTATGGGGAAAATTAACTCCATCTCAGCCAGTCCCAATACAACACGTTCCTAAAGTCATATGTAAAAACAAGCAGACAATGAAGCTGGGATATTAAAACCTGATTCTAAAACTACCAGCCAGGTGACTACTTGGTTACAAGTCTTGAAAACTTGACACAACAGGCAGCAAAATTAGCATAAGATCTCTGCAGGGAGGAATCCCACCTCTCCACTGACAGAAACATCCCACGGTTGCTAGAACTAGCAGCAGTGATTTCCTCTCAGTGAAGAAGATGGCCTGTAGATCTATGAATCATGAACATGTCTCATGACTTGGTCAGGCTTCACATTCAACAGCTCCTCCTGCTGCTATACACAGAGCCCTCGTAGCTCTGCAGAGAAATGGGTATACACTTAAAAGCATTAAGCCTGCCATAGCACACTAGTTTTATTTCTATGGGAGAACAGAGCTAAATTTGCCAGTTTATGGCCTTATTTCTACTTATGTTATAAATGGTTTCTCCTTTGAAAATCCTAAGGTAAGCAAAGCTTTTATTTTTTAAGACTCTCATCTGTATCTAGGGCCATGCTAGTGCTCTTATTTCATGAAAGGTCCTCCTGCCTGGCCTATAGCTTAAATACAAGAACTGTGTAGGCTTTAGTAGATTACATTAGATTAGCATATCATCATTACCTAAGGAGACCCAACCATACAAATCTCCTTACAAAAGGAGTCTTAATTTGGAGCTTTTCTCAGGGCTAAGTTGATGCTTTGGAGACTAATTTGACAATATCTTCATTTAAGCTGCTGCAGAAGTACTTCTTACTCTACAGCTTGGATTATTCAGAAGATAATGTCCCAACTGATCATATGAATGAGAAGACAGTAATCTTTGGCTCCCACAGATACACAAAGCAAATGTATTATCAGTGTAGGCAATCGTCATCGCCTCCAAATAGGATATGGCTGAAATTCTTCCAACTGTTTGATTCATTAGAAGGAAAAATAATTTTTTAAAAAATTGAAAATGTGGTAGCTTTCACCAATTACTTGCCACCTAAAAATAGAAATTGAGACCAGTAGAAATTACTGTTCTTGTAGCATGGTTTTTTGTCAGATGGAGTCAGGCTCTCAGACAACGCTCAAGGACATTTATTATACCTGTTATTTTAAGGTCTCCAGTAAACTGTGGCAGACTCCATAATAGCATGAGACTAGCTTTAAAGTTAAAAACATAATGGACTTAATAAAAGGATACCCTTTTATTTGTCTTCCAATTCTTGTGCCCTTAAAGTTAATTTTAAAGTTCTTTTCCAAAAGCAACAAAATTATGTTTTTAAGAAAAGCTGAACTTCTGACAAATTGCTAGGTCCTGAATCTTTCAAATGTGAATGTCCTTGTTAGTTAACTTAATTAACTTTGGCCTTGAGTCCAAAAATGTTCTTTTTTTAAATTATTATCTCGAATCATCTATCTTTTTAGCCTACTTTCACTATGG